TCAGACCTAATTTCATGCTCGACTATTATAATGCAATTAACAGCCTCATAGTCCTACTTTAATTAAACTCTGTTGCGAAACTCGCGGCATTTGAACCTGCCCCGGCCCGTCGCGTCTGCACCCCAGCACCGCCCTGCGTGTTTTCCTGCTGAACCATGGTTTCCCGGCGCCCGCCCGGCTGCGTGCGGGCCGGGCTCTCTGCGCCTCCCTTCCGACGGGCCCGCCCGCTCTCGGGGCCTGAGTGTTCAGGCTCAGGGTGCTCGCTGAGGGCGCCCCGCTGATGGAGGCGCCTTCAGGTGGCAGGAGTCAGGTCCCTGGATCCAGCCGGGCGCCTCGCGGCCTCCCCCTGGGCTCCGGTCTCCGTGGGCATCGCCCGTCTTGCAGGGGTGCACCGGGGCGCCCAGACAGTGGGAACAAAGGTGTCTGCAGGTGGCTGGCGGCCTGCTCTCCTGCCACGCCCCCCGGCCCTCAATGTCCGGGCGCCCATGCCTGCCCTCACACAGCGCTCCCCAACTCTGCGCCTGCCTTCCTGGCCTGGCATGACATGAGATAGGAGGCGACAGGGGCCTTTGGCTGGTCAGGGAACTCTCCCGGGCGGGAGCAGCTGGTGACTCAACAGCTGCTTTGGCAGGAAGGGAGTGAAGAGTCGGGTGTGCAGAGCAGCAGTCGGGCCGGCCAGGCGGCCGCCAGAGAGGAGCCTGGACTCCCCGGCCCAGGGCTGCTCTCCACTCCGCTCACAAAGCCTGAGTCTCCTCGCGCTGCCTTGCTCTACTTTCTTCACCCCGGGGAGGATTCGAAGATGCTTTCAAGGCGGAGGCTCCCCGGTGGCTGCCGCTGCTCTGAGTGTGGTTCAGATTGCAGAGCGCTTACCCCGGGCCAGGAGGAGCGGCGGCCCAGGGGCAGGCGGGACTCAGCGGGCCCTCTGCCTGGACCACCTCGGCTCCAGGGCCCGAACTGTCCCCAGGGAATTTCCCGGGGCCTCCTGCTCTCCGGGGAGGCCGGGCCTCGCCCCAGGACTCCCTGGCCTGCGTCCGCCGTGGGCAGGTGTGTGCTTGTCTCTCTCGCCGGAGAACTGCAGTGAGAAATTCTGGGAACACCCCCAGCTGCGTTAGTCATGGCTTCATGGCCCGAGGGGGAGGGAGACAGACAGATCCCGGTGCCTCCCAGTTAGTCTTGAGTTCAGAGAGCCAGGACCACCTCTCCGGCGAGTGGCGCTGAGCTCCTGGGCTGCGGGGCTGGTCTGTGCTTCTCTGGGCGGCCGCACCCCCACAGCCGCTCGGACCAGGAGCCCTTCCCTCGGACGCTCGTCCTCGTGAGCTCGACTCGGCCGTGGGGGGCGGCGGCCACTTCCAGACTCCAGAGAGCAGAGCAGTGACCGCAGGGGCAGCTGGCCCAGGGCGAGGACGGCAGGAAGGGCTGGTCGCGGTCAGGCGGGGCTGCTGGCCATGGGACGAGGGCGCAGAAGCCTAGGGCACAGCCCGGGGGGGGGCGTCATCCTCTCGCCTGCCGGGGGGCCCCGGGGTGCACACGCCCACCAGGGAAGGGCCCGGCGAGGCTGCTGCCCCCCCATCCAGAGGATGCTGGGCTAAGTCTCGGCACATGGGGGGTGTCTCCAGGCTCTGAGCCTCCCGCTGCGCGGCTGTGCCGGGGCTCATGAGGCCAGCGCCGTCGCCAGCGAGATAAAGCAAAGGCCAGGCTGGGGATGTGCCTCTGCCCGGGACGCCCAGAGTCCCTGTTTTATCTGACCTGTGATAGCGGATGCGGATTTATGCGTAAAATGTAGATAATACACACTTCGTGTCGTGCACATATATAAATATATATGATAATGTGATACATGATGTGTTTATGTATTAAAATGTATATACTGCATAGTTCATGGAATATATTTACAGAGATAAAATACACATAATACCCATTTTTAAGGAATATATAGCATATACATCCATACATAAAATATAGATAATGTCTATTTTATGTAATACAGTATTTATGCATATAGAATATGCAAATACCTATTTTTATGTAATATAATGCATAAGAACATATTTATAGATCATGTATTTTTACATTTTACAATTTTGTGTTTACAGATCATGTAAAAATACATGATGTAATTTTACTTAATAAAAATATGTGATGTCTATTATTTAATATGTCACATACAAGCATGCACATTTATATATAAGACTGTATACTCCATGCACTGTTATTTAATACCTGTTATATAATTTATAATTTATAACTAACAATAGAAATGCGTAAAATAGACATAAAATGTTTATATTGAATAGAGTATACATAAAGTATGTTTATATATAGACATGCATGCTATGCCTTTATGTAATTATCGGAACATCTAATATTTAAATAAGTGCCAATACAGGGCCTCCCTGGTGGCACAAGGGGTTAAGTCTCAGCACTGTGAAGCTGTCCGCAGCCTCTGCAGCACGAGTTCGATCCCCGGCCAGGGAGCTACCCACATGGCGCAGCAGACCTCTCCTGTCTCGCCCACTGTTCCCCTCAGCAGTGTATTTCAGTAGATCTGCCTGTTCTGTTCCCCACTCTGTCTCTGGTGAATCCTCTCACCCCCACGCCTCTGGCCTGCACCCCAGCTCTTGTATGCATAAATAAATCTTTAAAAAAAATAAGTGCAAATACGATATACATGTATAGATAAAAAAAATAAAAACGCAACCTATAAGCAAAGTCAGTGCATATAATATGTAACAAGCGATACAGACACAGCAAAGCTCTTGCTAACACATACGATTTGCGTGTACCCGTGCGCCGTACACACGCATATGTGTGACTGCCCCATCTACACCTGCTTTGTCCAGATCCTGCCGCAGCCAGAGATCCAGGCAGGGCGTCCTCCTGCCTCCCTGACACCAATGTGCAGTCAGCTGCACGGGGGGTGCCCACTCTGGAGGTCACGTACCTTCTGCCACCCCAGCCTGCTCCTCCCTGGCCTCCGGGTGCCCCCAGTGGCCTTCCGGACGCAGAGGCTCCTCCATCCCGCACAGGCGGCTACCTCTCCCCTGCCGCACGCCTGATGGGCTGGAGGGACCCGGGACGCTCAGGGACCGGGTGCTATAACCACCTCCTCTCTTCCCCCTGCTTGGCCTGAGGCTTCACCTTTCACAGCCAGAGGCCGGGGCGTCCCTGTGGGGCTGCGTGAGATGCGGGCGTCTGCACCTGGCCGGCAGCTGGCGAGCAGGTGGATCAGCCCGAGCTGCCGCTGCCGCGTCCTGCCCGGGCCGCGCGCTGCTGCCTTCCACCTCTCCAGGAGCCCGCACAGATGCGGAATCAATTATCCAGATTGATCTGCGTTCCCAGAGTTTGACATAGTTTAATGAATTCTCCTTCAGACACCGTCAGTGCGAGAGGGGAGGCGTCTCCCCAAGCCCTCCGGCCGTGTCAGCTGGGCCACCGGCGTCTCCTGCTGGTCCTCACCCAGGGGCGCCTCTTCCTCTCAGCGCAGAGCTGGGCGCGGCCAGCCCAGCGAGCTCTCTCGCTGCCTGATGTCCAGCGCCACTGCCCTGCCTGCGTGTGGACTTGGAGTGAGGGGCCTACTCAGCTTCTGCTCTCGGCCTGTGGTTCTTGAACGCAAGCCCCAGCAAGGCTCCAGCCACTTCCCTGCGTGAGCCGCACCATTAAGGGCATGTCGTGGGCTCCTGGGCTCTGCCCGCGTGGCCACGCGCAGCCACCCTCGCGCATTGGCCTCAGACCTGCCTCGCACGCGGCTCTCCCCGGCCCCTCTGAGGCAACATTACTTGAAGTGTCTGTGGCTCTAATTGGACCCCCACTGGGGTGGTGACCCTAATGCAAACTCGGCCCCCCTCAGCTCACGGCTCCCTCATCACACTCAAGAACTGTGTTAAGCTCACGATGCGCCTGCCCACACCGAGAGCCCCTCCTGGACGGCCAGTCCATCCAGATTCTTATTGTCCCTTTTTATCTTCAGAAAAGTCACTTGCTGGAATCTCGGGAGTCCAGAGTTCTAGACCGGGTGCAATTAGAAGCGGCCAGAACGTTCCTTTATGTTCTCAGCTTCCCTGTGCTCTGAGGGTTCCAGGTCTTTGCAAAGGATCTCAGGGGCGGAGGTCAGAGCAAGGGGTCACGTGGCCTCTGCAAAGACATGTAAGTGTCTTTGGTGTCAGGAGAGCCGGCGAGGAGACAGCCATGGGTTGCTGTTCTCTGCCCTCTTTGCAATCGACCGGCGTCTGTGATGCGCGGGGATTCTAGGACGCACGGCCTCGCTCTGCACATGTGAGGAAGCACAGATGAGAGCAAGAGGCTCCTCAGCCTTGGGAACTTGGGCGTGTGCAGCCTCCAGCAGCCGTGTTGGAGACAAGCCACGGAATAGCGGCGTCTTTTCAGGCCCAAGCCAGTGAGGCCCCCTGGGGTGCACTGTGTCAGCACGGGAGGCTCACCTGAGAAATCCTCCCCCATAAAGTGCAGCCAGCACAGAAGTTGGGGCGCCGGGGAGGACGGGCCGGCCCGGATGCCGGTGCTGCCTGGCGCTGTGGGGAGACTGAGCTTCGGTCACCTGGCCCTGCGTGTGCGGGTGACGTCACCCGTGGCACTTCGCGCAACACAAATAAGCAGGAAAGAGCCAAGATTTCTCTCGGATGGGAGAACACAAACACCCATTCATAAAGCCTCTCGTCAGCATTTTTTTTAATCAACACTGCCATTGTCGCAGCTGATCATCCTGCGTTGGGTTAATCTGGGAGCCAATTACAGCTTCATCTGTGCAGAATTAACTTTATGGAGCACACACCGGGGATTTGTCTGTCTCCACTATTTAGATATATGTCATAAAAATATGCATGGAATGACACACCAGCACTGCAGATGGCAGGGACTTGCAGATTTATCGTAAAATCATTTAAAATTGGTTATGCTCTTGCCAGAAGTTAATTAATTTTTTTTCTCTTCTTTTCGGGGGCTGGGGGGCCGGGGGCGGTCTCACTAGGTGGCAGTGTATGATTATATCTGGAGCAGCCGAGGCGGCAGGTCTGGTGCCTCCATCTGTGACCTCCAGCACCAGGAGCGAGCGGCTGCGCCTGCACGGGGCCCGGGGAACGTCACTTCTCATGTCGCCATCACCACCGAGTACCCCAGCGGGGTCCGGGTGCTCTTCCGCCATTTTCTCCGCCTACCCAGCGGGGCCATCGTGGAGGTAAGGGGGTGTGAGCCGGGGAGTGTGCCCTTCCAGCTGTGCTCCCTAGGGGGTGTTGATACCTGACTCCAAGGGCTTCTCTCACTGTGCAACATGTTGCAGCTGATGTTTCCAGTACCAGCCACTTCTCTTTTTCTTTTAAAGATTTATTTATTTATGCATACAAGAGCTGGGGCACAGGCTAGACATGCGGAGGGTGAGAGGACTCACCAGAGACAGAGTGGGGGACAGAACAGGCAGACTGACCAAAGTACACTGCTGAGGGGAGCAGTGGGGAGACAGGAGAGGTCTGCAATACCAGCAACTTCTAACCCCACTGAAGACACACGGCAGTGTCTACCTAAGACAAAGAAAGTAGCAAATAATAATAATAAAGACAGCTTTCTGCACACAGCCATGTGGGGAGAGGCAGGAGCAGATCAAGAGAAACAGGCCAGAATCCTATCTGCAGTGTATTTGGTGCAAAGAGCATCCCCAGGGGTGAAGGAGCAGGGAGCATCCCCAGGGGTGGAGGAGCAGGGAGCATCCCCAGGGGTGGAGGAGCAGGGAGCATCCCCAGGGGTGGAGGAGCAGGGAGCATCCCCAGGGGTGGAGGAGCAGGGAGCATCCCCAGGGGTGGAGAAGCAGGGAGCATCTCCAGGGGTGGAGAAGCAGGGAGCATCCCCGGGGTGGAAGAGCTGGGAGCATCCCCAGGGGTGGAGGAGCCGGGAGAATCTCCAGGGGTGGAGGAGCAGGGAGGAGCAGGGAGCATCCCCGGGGTGGAGGAGCAGGGAGCATCTCATGGGGTGGAGAAGTAGGGAGCATCCTCAGGGTGTGGAGAAACAGGGAGCATCCCCAGGGGTAGAGAAGCAGGGAGCATCCCCAGGGGTGGAGGAGCAGGGAGCATCCCCAGGGGTGGAGGAACAGGGAGCATCCCCCAGGGTAGAGAAGCAGCGTCCCTGGGGGGTGGGGGGAGAACGGGACTCTGGGGCCACGGGCTCTCCAATGCTTCAGGAAAGGCATGGCCTTTGCCCCCATGACGTCACACTAAATGAGGGCAAAGGTGGCATTTCTATGTTTTTACAAAATGAAGGGAAAACCCTCTCCCTAGCTCTTTTGAAATACTGTTTAAAGTACCCCTGCGTGGAGATCTGGGGTCCCCGTTTCCCTTGCAAAGTCTGTCTTTGTGGGAGTCGAGTGAGTGTGAGAAGCGACATCACCCCGCACCCTCAGGTCGCCTGAGGCGGAACCGCAGGGTCGGCGCCCGGGAGTCCTGAGGCCGGGCCGGGCCCTTCCCGCCACGGGTGGGGACAGTGGGCGGAGACGCTGCTGCCGGGCTCCCCCAGCCTGGCCACGCGCCCATCCCCAAACTACATGTGGGGATTTGCAGAATCCGAGTGTTTCTGGCGTTCCAGGCTGGAGCCCGGGGTGAACCAGGTGGGAGCAGCTGCTGCGGAAACAGTCGGGAGCTCGGGCCGGGGAGTCTCTGTCCGGCTTCCTGGCCCACGGCCGGCGGGCGCGCGAGTGCGTGTGAACCGTGGGGACGGCACCCACGTCGGGCAGGCCGACCCGCCCCGAGCCCTCCCCCAGGGCCCTGAGCTGGCCAGGTGGCCGTGGGCAGGCCGGCTGCGGCTGGTGTGGGGCGCCGGGGCTCGGCCTGTGCGCCTTCTGGAACCTCGGCTTTAGCCCTCCAAGCGGAAACCCCCCAGCCTCACGGCTCCCCAGGGTGCACAGGTGTGAGCTTGAGCGTGGACCAGCCTGCCCCGCTCCCTGGAGAAGCAGTGGCACAGCGGGGCCCGCGGAGTCGGGCTGGGGCCTTGTCACTCCCCGCGCCTCTGCCTCCTGGACTCTAAAACTGGGTGATGGGCGCCTCCTGCCCTCAGCGGCTGGGGAGCCTCCGGGAGGAGCTGCGCGCCTTCTCGCCAAGGCGCAGGGGATGACCCGCCCGGGCGAGCCCCTCCATTCAGTCGCGGGGTCTCGAGTACTGAGGGCCGTGTCATGCCAGCCCCCCAGCCTGGCAAGAGGGGGCTGGAGGTGCAGCCGGGTCTCCCCACAGTGGAGGCGACACCCGCTGGGGTCCCAGCACACCCCGCCCCGGCGAACGCCCAGGCCTGGGCTGGGGTCTGCGGTCTGGCCCCAGGTGCCCCGGGGCAGGGTCTCCACCGGGAAGCCCCGCGGACCCGTTTGGCCCCCCTGGCCCCTCTCCCGGCCGCTGTGGCCCCTCACCTGCCAGGGGTGACCCGGGACCTTTCTGACTGGTTTCAGGTTAGACTCGCCTGAAGGAGGACGGGGGCTCTCAGGGCGCTGCCAGCAGCGTGTGGGGGTCGGGGACACCCCCCTTCTGCCCGCTGGCTGGTGGCAGGTGGATGCTGTCTCTCTGCCCCCTGCTCACAGCTCCCCCAGCCTGGCCAGGCTGCCGGGCGAAGCCGGGGCCCAGCAGTGAGAAGGAAGAGGGAGCCGCGGCCGCTGTGGCCGGGGGCCAGGCCTGGCAGAGAGAAGCGGCCACGGATGGTCACTGTCCGGGCTCAGCAGCGGTGCCCCCTGCGCTACGCCGGGTACCGCGCGGCGGTCTGCAGCGGGCACCACCCTATGCCCACGAGTCTCTGGACCCCAAATGATGCCGCACTCGGGCTTCACGCCCTGAGGTCCCTCCCCACCCCGCGGGACCGCAGGGACCTCGGCCCTGCCCGGAGACGCCCTGACAGGGAGGCGTGGTGACCGCTCCCCGGCCCTGTGCCCTTAGGACGGCGACGGCGGTGAGCATGCAGCAGAGCCGGCCCGCCCTGGCCCGACGCCTGTCCTCAAGGCGGCGGGGGGAGGCTTTCTCCCCGGCCGCTGGTGCCCGGGTCCTCCGGGACTCACTGACGACAGGGATTTCTCAGCCTCTCCCTGCTCCGCCGTGAAATATAGGTCAAGCCTGCACCTTCCCTCTCTTCTCTGTTAACCCCTGGCAGCTTCACTTTGAAACCGCGCACCTCCCAGTGCCGCCCGCCTCCCGCCGAGGCTCCTCTGCAGCGCAGGCGCGCCCCGGACCGGGCGACAAGGTGACGCAGCTCTAACTTCTACCTTATTTTAATTTTTTTAAAGATCTATTTATTTATGCTACAAGGGCTGGGGTGCAGCCCGGAGGTGGGGGGCGAGAGGACTCCGCAGAGACAGAGTGGGGAGCAGAACAGGCGCATCCACTGAAATCCACTGCTGAGGGGAGCAGCAGGGAGACAGGAGAGGTCTGCCGGGCTGTGTGGGTAGCCCCTGGCTGGCCAGGGATTGAACTGGTGCTGCAGAGGCTGCGGACAGCCTCACAGTGCTGAGAGTTAACTCCTGGCGCCACGAGGGAGGCCCCTGACTTTTCTTTTTTTGCTTTAATGCCTGAAATGCCCTTGGGGCTGGTCACTACCTCCTGGGGAGGTCCCTGTCCCGTGCGCCCCCCAAACTCTGCCTCTGAGCTTGGCTCTGCTCCTAGTTGGCGGAGTGAGCTTTTTCTTTCAAGCACAAAGTTCCTCCAAAGTTTCCAGCACTCCCAACTCCAGAAACCCAGGCGAGACGAGCGCAGATTCATCAAGTCACAAATAAGCCGGCGATCCCAGGGCGGCCGCCGCAATTAAGAAAGCCCTGGGAGCATTGGGGGCGCGGGGAGCCGCCTCCCTGCCATTGGAGGCGCCGGTGTCGCCAGGTGGTCGGAGGGCGGAGAGGGAGCGGGCGCGCGCAGGCTGGGGAGCTGCTGGGGCCCGCGCCGGCCCCCCGAGGACGCTCACCTACTTTGGATGTCCCCGGTGCGGGCTCCTACCCACGGCCAGGAGAGCGCAGCGGGGCGCTGCTTCCTGTCTGCAAATGAGAATATTAATACTCGCCTCGATAACAGATTAACCAATTAGTGGTTGCTAAGTGCCGGCTGATGGAAAGCAGCGGGGGCAGAAAGCCGAGCGCGACAAAGGGAGCAGTTTTATTATTAGACGGCGAGCTCCGGACGTTTGGGGGGCGGGGGGTGGGGGTGGGCTCCGGGCCCCGGCAGGTGCAGGGGCGCACGGGGCGCAGGCCTGGCAGGTGCGCGGGAGAGGCGCGCCCACCTGCCCCGCTCACCTGCCCCCAGCGTGGTGGAAGGCCGGGGCGCGGCCCAAGTCGGAGTGGGGCTGTGAATAAAAGGGGGTTCCCCCTCCCCGAGCGTGGAGTGGTGGATCTCAGGGCAAACAACCACATCTGGGGGCGTCTCGGCCTGGGCGTTGCCATTTCAGCCTGTTTCAGGAAAGGCGATTTCGTGAATCCGAGACATCTGGGGAGTCTCGTGTCCGCGAGAACCCACGTGCTCTGCGTGGCGCGCAGGGAGAGAGACAGGTGCGCAGGGAGAGAGACAGGTGCGCAGGGAGAGAGACAGGTGCGCAGGGAGAGAGACAGGTGTGCAGGGAGAGAGACAGGTGTGCAGGGAGAGAGACAGGTGCGCAGGGAGAGAGACAGGTGCGCAGAACGGTCCGGGCGGGCGGGGGTCAGGCAGGCGCGCAAGGATGGGGTGCGGGGTGCGCAGGCATGGCCGGGGGCGCCTGGCGGGAGCTTTCGTTTCTGGGCGACATCCCCCCGGAGTTTTCCTTCCGAGGAGAGTCGCTGCTCTGGGAGGGCGCACAGCCAGCCTCCTCGCACGGCCCCTGGGCGCGGGCCCAGGGCTGACAGAGCGCGCGCAGGTGCCTCCCTACCGGGGCGAAGCCGGGTCTCCACCCTCACCTGTGCCCGAGCCAGCCCGAGCCGCGTCGCCACCCTCACCTGGCCGCCGGGCCAGCCCAAGCCGGGTCTCCACCCTCACCTGGCCGCCGGGCCAGCCCAAGCCGGGTCTCCACCCTCACCTGGCCGCCGGGCCAGCCCGAGCCGCGTCGCCACCCTCACCTGGCCGCCGAGCCAGACGCACAGGCGCGCTCAGAACCCCCGCACCCCGAGTTTCTCGCCGCCTCTCCTTGGCTTGCCAAGTCAAACTGGACAACTGTCCTTTCCATTGATGAAAATAAAAAGGTCCTGAGGTATTTTGCCTTTTGCTT